CATTTGTATCTTTGTATATCACAAATAAGGCGTACGAACGCGAGAAAAAGATGTAAAGTTGTTCGATACTGAGTCTTACATTTTACAAGACTGTATTTTTTACTTAAGTACCAAAAATCAGGGTCCCACTTACGATTACCATTATTCGGTACAAGTCACCAATCGGATTGTCTTTAACTACTTTCATCTGTTTTGAACCAAAACAAGGCTAAACTAATCTTCGTCGGTAAAAATACAATGATTCGGGATAATTTGAAGTAGGAACAAGTCATGTGTACCACATGCTGAACCAAATAATACGCAGCATAATTACTGTATGACGTTCAGAACAACATATATGACGAAGTATTTGAAACAGATCATTATGATGTAACGAGTACATTATTGAAGAAAAGGAAATAAGTTAACTTATAGACACAGAATAGTAGGTTACGGACTGATTCTTTAAAAACAATCGACTTCAATATATGTGTTTGCCAAGACAGGTGAGCTTAGGTAATTAGACTCATCATCCATTGGTATATCATGTAAAAACTACTGACTTATTTAAAATAATGGTACTTATTTTAAGATAAGTCACGAGTTAAAAATAAGTCTCTCAAAAATCGTGTTAGTTCAGAGCCGAGTCCACAACTTGCGGGATTATTCCGATAAACGTTCTTGTTCCTAGACCAATGCAACCACGCAAGCCAGCGTTTCCGAGCCATCTCATAGCTGTTTAAGACAGAGCTGTCGCTCTTTGTAGAATATGTTGAAAAGCGTAGTGCTAGCATATCTATTTGATTGGAGTGAAGATTGAAGTTAAGTGTTAGAGCCGTGTTCTTCAACTATACTTCCCAAGCTTTCATATTAGATTGGCGGGAAGTGATTGCAAGGTCGATTGCAGTGAATTCATAATTATTGTTAGAAGTAGGGAGTGGTTGATACAACCCCACGGAATGACAAAAATGTTGAAACCGATCAACTTCTGAAGTTTACGTTTTTACAACGAAATTCTCTGGTATAGTTTTTATATTGTTGCTGGGTTGCCGTGATAAATTATGCTATTACGAAGTTCAGACCAGATTTTATGAAATTCATTTGCCATCCTGGAATCTATAATTGATTGTAATTTTTCCTTTTGTTTTTCAGTTCTTAGATCTGAGTCATTTATATGTATTACTTAATACTAAATAAAGATTTAGTTATTTGTAAGATTTACACAGCTTACATAAGGTGTGCATGTACTATGCGTAGGGTTTGAAGTATATTTATTCCAGACAGTTGTGGCAAGGTTAGAAAGCGTAAGTTTAATATTAAGAACAGTTTTCAGTAATTTTTACTAAAATAACATAAAGTGGATAATTGCATACAATGATCTTCAAAACCTTTCAAGAATTTGGTAGATCGTGTAATCTTTCTTCAGTACATAGCACCACTTATATATCAAAATGATCATGTTGGCCACCTCAGACACCACATACACGACATTTCTAATATTGCAAGTTTCTCTCATTACGCGATCAAAAGAGTGAGCAACCCATTTGGTTTACTTTTGTTATTTTCAAGAGAAAATATGTTATCATCTATTTATCTGGCAGATAGTCCTTAAATAGCAGAAAACTTAGAATTCTTTACATATTTATAGTGTACTGCACTTGAGATTGGAGTTTGATATATATTGGATTTAGATAAACAAGCTTTTGAATGGCATGCGATACCATTAAATTTATTTAAGAATTATTTATATAGCTCCCAATTTATCAACTTACCTGCATTTTTTTTTTTTTTTAAACATTAATTGTTTCGATATTCCTTTTTCTTTTGAAATGTATTATATATTACGGTAGAACAACCGTAGTGATCGAGTCAACACTTCACACCAATTAGCCTAGCCTTATAATGGGCATTGAAAGGCTTGTGTTATGGGCTAACGCCTAGCCCATTTATCATACAATGATTTGCCCCACCGGGGTGAACCCAAGACCTCGGAGTATGCGACACCTTAAAAACCACGTACATTGCACTTCCCAACGGGGTACGTCAACATTCGATGTTCGATCTTTATAGTCTATTAAGAGGGTAGTTTATAGCCGATACTTATGTGTGTACGCAAGCCATGAGCGGGTATGTTGCGTTGCGTTGATGTATGGATTTCCACGCGATGGAAGTAATGAATTATGTCAAGCGACATTTATTATATTTTCAATTTACTTATTTTTAACGTTTCGAATCGTTTACACTTTTACAGACCCCATGGTCACAGAAATAAATTATGAATCACGAATAGACTACAAATTATGCATAATTTGCTCCACTCGAGTGTCGTATGTTACCGGTGCTTACATAATAGTACGAACTCCATAAGCGAACAAGTAGTAAGGAGAACATATATTGATATTCACGTAATGGAAATAATATATTATGTGTGGTATGACCCCACAAGGGCGATTATAAGATTGATGAGGATATTTCTCTATCAACGATGTTTTGTTACTGATACTTGTATGTGTAGGCAAGCCATGGAAGGCAAGTCCTTATTCATAATGAGTTCCATACGGAGGAAGCAAATTATACATAATATGCCCCCGCGAGGGGCGGTCATCAGAGTTTTGGTAATATGCACGCCGCGAAGGTGGTTTGCTACCGGTACTCGTATAAGTAAGCAAGGCATTAGAGGTATTTCATAAGGTTTCACGTAGTGGAAACAAATTGTATATAATATGCACCCCGCGAGGGTGATTTGCTACCGGTACTCGTATATGTAGGCAAGGCATTAGAGGCATTTCATAAGGTTCCACGTAGTGGAAACTAATTGTACATAATATTCACCCCGCGAGGGTGATTTGCCACCGGTACTCGTATATGTAGGCAAGGCATTAGAGGCATTTAATAAGATTCCACGTAGTGGAAACAAATTATATATAATATGCACCCCGCGAGGGTGATTTGCCACCGGTACTCATATGTGTAGGTACGCCATGGGAGGGCATGTCCTGACAGACCTTGGGTTTCATGAGATGAAGCTTATGAATATCACTTGCCTCTGCGCGAGTTGCTCATTAGGTTGATGAAATTTCAATCACTTAAATCCATGACAAATACTTACTTAATACGAGAAATACAACCTCATAGATGGTATCTTATTAAGTGGTGCTTCATCACAGAGATCACTAACTTCTTAAGCAGTGCTTTAGTTTTTACTTTTTAGCTTTGTGCTAGCTGTAAAAGACCTAAGAAACGATTCTGTTATCTTATCACTTTCGTTATTAAAATTAACTGAGCAGGTGCCTTCCCGCAATGATTCATTTTTATTTTAGAAATATGCAATTGCTGAAAGAAAATTAATGTCAGGAACGTGATATATCATAAATTATCATCATACTTCTTTACCTCGTTGTTTGTTTCTAGGTTGATAAAGCCTGGACTATGATTATAATTTTTAATTTACATCAGCATATCATTTAAAATAAACGTTGAATGACTTTCGAACAGAGCGTTCGTTTATCCTAGTTTAGTCACACGACTCATATGAGAATTTTTATTACGTGTATTGGTCAGTGAAAATGTTAGAACTTTTTATTCATAAGCCTTTAGATATTCATAGCTGGCCATGTTCAGAAAACGGCATATCGACATTAGAAATACCTTATTAAGATTGTACACAGTTCACTTATCCCTCGAACAATCTTTTAATAAAAGAGCTGGAATATCAAGCTCGCTTATTTTTCTTGAGGCAGCGATGCCGCTTTCGTTATACCAGAAGACGACAAATTCAACCAATTATTACTGCAGCTGTTCGAAGAACAATAATGACTAGATCCACACATCTTGCTGTTTTTGCCAATAATGCCAGTCAGTCGGCGGCTGAAACGTCAATATTGACCGATATTCCTTCACTCTAAACTGTAAAACAATTTAATTAAGTATTTTGTAATACATAATTACCAATTTACTTTCACATTTACTTATACGGAAACATTAATTGAGTACCAAGAGAAAACACTCTTAAAATAGTTTTTATGATAAACGACCAAGACAGACGTAAAGTATTGCAAAATTTACTTTAATGTAGGTACTTTAATTTTTTAAACAAAACGCACCTTGAATTGCCGTCAAGTTTTACTCACGGCTTATTATTACTTTTTCAAACAAGAGTATTGCACAATTTAACATATTTGTTTTAAATATCCCTTATCACAAGGGCTGCAAAAATTATCAAAAAGAATAATAGTTTTACTTACGGTTCCTTCACTTTTAACACGTAAAGTACCTATTTGGAATAACACGAACGGCAAAAACCGTTAAAATAAAATAGTTTTACTTACAGTTTTATCACTTAATAATAATAAAACCTTTAAAATGTCACAACGATCGCTCAGATTGAGGACGTGTTGCTTCGACGGGAGTCAGAACGCCAATGAGTTAATATGGCGCTGTCAAAACTTAGGAAAACAAAAATGGCCGCGCTTCTGCCAGGTGTCGCCACTGGACCGGATACAAGGTGAATAAAAGTACGGAAACTGATAGTAATTCGACGGGAAACGGAAGTGCTATCTCAATATAAAGCTTTCAGTGACGGTCAAGTAGTTTAATAAAACATTTTTTTTTAAATAATTAAAAATTGTCTGTCCAGGATTTTTTTAGGCAACCCATTTTCAACATATTTTCTTACATACTAAATTTGTTATAAAATATGATTCATTCTATTATCAGCTCGGTGAATATCGTTTTTAGTTCGGATCTTAGACTATAACTATATATCCTTAAATATCTACACCGACTTTTACTGTAAAAACGTATATAGATTTCTGATTGAACGCGCAAATCTCTGCATCGTTAAATTTCTCACCGACGGAACTATAGACATTTGAAATTGATCCCACTATTCCCTGAGTCAAAGTAGTTTTTTGCAAATTTTGCCGCTCATTCGGGCGGCGAGGACCTACACGCTACACCGCGATTTGAGGACCCATTACTAATCTTTACTGAAAATAGTACCTTAACCCCCTATTACTTACAGTTCATCGTCATGCAATAATGCCATGACTGCGGGAAGAAGGTGTCTTTCTATGCAGCCGGCGCTCACTTCTGCTGAGTTGAGCAACTCAGTGAGCAGAGTTGCGATGTAAACCCGTACTGCACTACCACTTGACGTTTCACAACTGCTGGCCGATACTGATGACAATTAAAACTTACATTATAATTAGGGTTGCAACGATATATCGAGATCTCGATACTATCGACACCAAAAATATCGATATTGGAAAACCCAAAATATTGATGGAAGGCTTTTAAACACATTTTATATTTATTTATTTTAGCTGCTATAATTTTAATAATGCAAATTATGTAATACTATAACTACTGTTTCAAACTTGCAAGAGCCTAAAGCTGTAAGAGTTTATAAAGCGACATGATAAAGTTTTTTATCGACACTCAACTGTCAAACGATTGTACTTTGACATACAGTGTCGATAAATCACTAAATCAATAGTTTAGGTTCTCATGCTGTGTTCGATATAATTGTCTATAAATAAATATTGACATTACAAAAAACTTTGCATGCCTAATTATAATTACATACCATTCATTAAGGAGCTCGATGGCGTAGGTGGTTAGTGCATTCGGCTTGCGATCGTGGAAGTTAAGCAAACTTCGCGATGGCCGGACATTGGGTGGATGACCAAATTCTTATTATCTCGAGCTCCTTCGTTCTCGGAATTCACGTTAAGCCGTTGGCCCCGGCTGCATCTGCAGTCGCTAACACCCATCAATCTGCACTGTGTCTGCGTGTGCGCGCAATTATGATTCATCATCATCAGGCACGGAGCACCCCCACTAGAGTCCGCATCACACAAATTTTGTTTGGAATCAAAATCGCCAAAGTCGGCGGCGTGCAGGGAGGTCAGCCCCGTTGTGATTGGACGCGTCAAGGTCAGATCATATACTCAGTGCAGCGAAGTGATGAGGGTAAGATCGATTTTCGAAAATATCGATATTTCCTATCGATAAACAATTTAGTATAGAGACCTAGTATTTTGGTGCGTTCTAATTACATGACGCGACCAGTAACTACAAACTAAATAATAATTAAGCAACACAAAAAAACACGTGACAAATATATAGATAGACAATAATATGATGTTTATGATGATGTCTAAAACTTAAAGCCCCTTACTCATCGGGTCAGTACGGGTTCATTTCGTTTTGTTTGCGGGAGTGACAGGATGGGCGAGTCGAATGATTCGGTAGTATTCAGATGCACTCGGCACAGCGAGCTAAGTATCCGCTCGGTAAAGATCTGTACGGGAACCACTAAGTGGGAAAGCTCTCACTTAATTATATGCACTCGGAAAAAATCTGTTCAGTTTCGGTACAGAATCGAAAACAAAACAAACTCGCACCGACCCGAAGATAAAGGCCTCTTAATTATTATTTTCTGGTACTTATGACAATAAAGAAATTTAGTAAATCCCATTTTAACGAAGTTGTACAGAAAATTATAACAATTTACCTTAGATTAAATCAAAATGGGAAGATATCAAAAAGAGACCCCGACCACACGGATACGCGTCACAAAAATGAGCCTCTTAAATTAACTGCATGCACACAATTCGCTGTAGTCGCAATTTGTCTAATAATATTGCAGATATTTTCTAACTGTTTTAAAAGATAAAATAATGCCTTCGACGATTTCAGAAAGTGCACAAATGGTTCACAGAAGGTCACAAATAGCACAAATAGTTCGATTTATATATTTAAGTTATTAATTTTATTTTTAGGATTTAGTTTCATTGTTCTAGTTCGATTTTAATATCGACGGCATTTTCTAACAATAAAATTCCGTATGACATTACACTACGACAAAAAGTTTATTAAGCTGGCGGTATTTACATCCGTTAAGTGATCTTTCTTCATTATGTTACGGTATATGTTGCAGAGCTAAGTCTATTTGATATTTCAACAATATGTGAATCTATTGAAGCTTAGAAGCCAGAGAAGTCCCTAAGAAAACTGTGGTATCTACAAGGCCCATATTCTTAACCTTTATATTCACACTGATGTTTACCCGTTTAATATTAACCCGCAATACAAAATTTTAACATTTAGTTTTTCCTTTATTAGGTAGTTGATTATTGACATTGAGCCAGTGGACTACCTTAGAGATATAATTATTCACGTTATCAATAACTGTTTGCTTATAGTCGAGTATCTTGTGGGTTTTTCTTGTAGTCAAGTATAAAATAATTACAATGTAAGTTAAATAAAAAAGACCAAGACTGCAAAATTCCTATCACAACCGACTAACCCTGAACTTTTTGCCAATGATGTTAACTCACTGAACACTATCGTTCAACTATGGTGTAATAAAATCCAGATTGGTATCTCTTTATCGTTTTTTAAGTGATGTTTCATGAAAATAGCAATCAAAACCCTGAGACAAGTCGCTAGACACACGTAGAAGTGGTTAATGGAGTTATATTACTGTATTTCAAGAGGTCATGTCATATAATGCATTATTTAAACATTGAAAGTCACCTTTAATGCATACTTATAAGGTCTTAATTAAAACGCATGCGTCAAAGACTTATGACATTTCGAAATGCAAGGTCGTAAAATTTTGCGGAAGAATATAGACCTTATATTTTTGACTTTTCGCGCGCAATTATGAATGCGCTGTTAGCAATAAAGCAGGTACAGACCGCGAAGAAAAGAGACGGCTTTACGGCGACGTACTCGTATAACCGACCATGCATTTGAATATAACAAATATTTTATATTCAATCAGTTTATAGTAAGTATTACAACAATAACATTTGCTTCAAATGCGTTAAATAATAAAAAAAACATTAATTAGATACCTGTCGAAAAAACTATTAGTATTTTTTCTACATTTTTTCATGGAGCTTTGCGGCATCTTGACTTTTCAGCGGTCCGCGCGTGACTGTGAACCAAGAAGTACTTGAGAGGAGCTCAAGCACTTCTTGATTGGGGCACATTTTGAGCGCTCATGGTGTAACTAGGGTATTTAATATCTTTAATTCTATGTTTTTATCTAGGGCGAAAACTATGCGCATGTAATTTCATACAAATCCGTTTAACAGTTTTAGCGCGAAAGAGTAACAAATATCCATACAAATTTTCGCGTTTTAAAATTTTAGTAGGATATGTTTGAACTCAAATAAAAACTGTTGGTTGTATACTCATGACATCTGTTATTGTATACGATGATATAAATAGTTTTTATTTATTTTTTCCATTTCCATAGCTGACAAACTTATCGATAAACTTACGGGTTGAGACATGAGCTGCGTCTGCGTCACTAGCAATACACGTGCCGGTGTGAGACTGGGATAGCATATATGATGTAGCGCATGCGAGAAAGGGACAATGTACAAAGACATCAACGCGTTCACCAAAAAATAAATACAATTAACAGCAATTTAATATAAGAGTATTTTTGTCATTTTGTAATGTATTTAAACTTACCGGTGAAAAGGAATACCATATTTTTGAAGACTGGAAGTTTTACTCCACTTTCTACACAATTGAATTGCATAGTACGGCATTTTTTACAGTTTTTTAACACGAAAACGTGAGAAGCAGTTCGACCGACGCTCGGTTACCAAATGAAATGATGTATCGCGACGTCTGTGGGCGTGCCTCACGCATAGGTAAAATACTAATTAAGCTTGGCGTAAGCGCTTGCCTTGTATGCGGACTCTAGTGGGGGTGCTCCATGTCATCAGGCTATTAATGTCCCCCCTACTGGGGCACAGGCCTTCGCAAATAAATGGAATAGGAAGATTGGGCCAAAGCCAGCACGTGGTACAGTGCCGATTGTGGGCGTTAACGACTGCAGATGCAGTCGGAAACAGCGACTTAACATGCATTACGAAGCACGCAGGAGTTCGAGATTGCGAAAGTTCAAAGTGTTCTTCGGTGAAGATATAGATTTTGTTCTCTTAAATGTACTATACACATATACCTTCCTTTTGAATCAACCTATCTATTGCTGAAAATTGCTTTAAAGTTCATTGCGTAGTTAATAAGATCTAAAAGTAAAGACAGCGAGAGCATTGTTTTATTCTATACATAGTATACTTACTTTACGTGTAAAGTTATAGAAGGAATTAAAGCAAACAAACAATTTGACCACCATAGCCTATTGAAATTTGCCATAGGCATTAGATTATTACTCGCGCATTATGTAATAAAAACATCTAATTTAATATATAATTTTTATGTATTTAATTAATGTTACTTACATTCTCTGAGATGCTGCAAGTAAAAGTCGAGCGTCTCCGGCCGATGTTTGGTTACCCACTTCAGAGGTATTGAGAATATCTTTACTGGAAGACTTCTTATACTACTGTACATTATCCATCTGCAAGAAAAACAATATTTAATTCATATCGCATTTCACTTATTACGACCTTGGTTGTAGCGACCATTTACCTATAGCGACGTTAAATCTAAGCCCCTTGAATTTAAATCATACTTTAGTACAAAATTCATGTGGCTATAGCGATTTTGGATGTAACGCCGAGTTCGGGTGTAGCGACTGTTTTTAATGAATAATTTGTAACAAATTCCTAGAAATCCCATGCACGTGTTACGACGGCAGTTCTGTTGGCGTTCTTATCTTGTGTTTACATGATGACATGCACATATGGTCAGCAATTGTGGTGACATTTTTTTTATAGTTATTAGCTAGGGACAAGGGACCCATACTACGCAGGTAATCGTGTACGTTTCGGAGTTAAAGTGATATTCTAAGTGACAACTGTAACAACTTGACTTTTGAATAAGTATGGCTCCTAGACGCTCATTCACTGTTAAATAAAAGGCGGAATTCATTTCAAAATTGAAAGCACTATACACACTATTCACATATATGTAGATGGATTCAATGATTTTACGCATCATAACTAGTTATAAAAATCGGCTAAGTGCGAGACGGAGTGTTTTTTACCATCGCGTAATATGCAAATACAGTGATTTGCAAAAGCTTTCGTGTATAGCCACTGATTTTTTTTATATATTACCCAGCGAAGGGGTATGCGTTAGACATATTTCCAGGTAAAAAAAAAACTGATTACTGGTATATATTTTGAGTAAGAATGAAGTATTGATTGAGGAGCTTGACGAAACAGTGGTTAGCGATTCGGCCTGCTATCTTGGAAGTTAGAGCAACCTTCGCAGTGGCCGGTCATGCCGGTCATATGATAACCGGAAAAAATATCATCTTCAGTATCTTTATGAATTGGAAGCCAACTTAAGACGTTGGTCCAGGCTGCATCTGCAGTAATTATTACCTACTTCACCGCAAAGGGTCCGCATAGAAAGGTCTGTGCCCCAGCAGTGAAGACATTAATAGGCTAAATAAAATAATGACAGATAAGCACTTACTTTTGTAGGAATTCTCCGTGAAACGTTTTATCTTCGAAAACTGGTAACACAGCTATCAAGTATATACCAACAATAATTGTACTATCCACATTGACACTATGGAGTTTCTCCAGCTTATTCTCCAACTCCACTATTGTGTCATTAAATATCCCTTTGATTATATGACAGGTGAAGTCTACACCGAAATTGTCTACGTAACTACTGAACAGAGATATGAGCGCTTCGTAAGTCATCGGATGATTTAATACTCTGCTGTTTGTGGCCATTTCTAAAATTTGTTTCATTCTGAAAATATAAAGAAGTATTTACTATTGACTGAATAATGTTTATGGTTTGGCTAGGTCTGTGATAGATACTAAATTAAGTTGAACTATGTGTTTTATTCTAAATATTTTGTTGTGAAGATCAGAAAAATATGGTATAACTACACGTCAAAGATAATATATAATAAAGCAAAAAAATCTATGTAACTAACATTAAACATTTTATTTTTTAACAATTGCTCAACGCTAAGTCGGGGCGGGTTGCTACTTGGTAGTTATTTATTAAATTTACACTTACAGGCTAATAAACCAAGTTAACTCAGTCCATCTCACTTCAGGTTTCTCTTTAATTAAATTATTCATAGCTACCAACAATATCTTCGTATCTACATTATCCATCACATAGCACTGAAGATCTATAAAATAATCTTGATCTCCTTCCAACGGTATCTCTTGTAAATTAATTGATTTTTTATCACAGTTATTCACACTTGCTTCTCTAACTATTTGTACATTGACGACATAGGCCAACTTTGCTAAAACTAATACTTTCAGTATCTCTAAATATAATATCATACTCTTCCATTCGTTCTCCGTACTTGATTTGACTAAATTACTTATAATTCTACTGCACAGATCCGTCGCAAATTTTCCTGCAATAAAAAAAAGTACTATTTTATGAAGGAAAAGATATGATGAACTGTTATGGTACTATAAAACGACAACAAGATTAATGTTTGTTTATCATGCAAACTTAATGGCGCCAGTTATGTTAGTACAAGTAGCGCCACAGAAAAACGAATTGTAGGTGTATTCAAGGTGTTAAAGTGACCGGAAACCGAAAAAAGTGTCTTGGTCTTTACAGATTGTACCGTGGGGCAAAAATTGAGACCGAAAAGATGTTTTTATTTTTTTGCCGACACACACCAATTAGCCTAGCCCCAAAGTAAGCAAGCACTATAAGGCTTGTGTTATGGGATGCTAGGGTAACGGATAGAATACATATGTATTCTGTACTGTACATATATAAGTATATTTATATAAATACATATTAAATATCCATGACTAGAGCACAAATGCTCGTATTCATCACACAAACATCTGCCCCCACCGGGATTCGAACCCGAGACCTCTCGAGTCGGCGACAGCCATGAAACCCGGCGTACAAACCACTCGGCCACGGAGGTCGTCAAATTTAATTAGACGACGATGATTTGCTGTCATATATTGTTTCATACTTTTATCTCTGTATGAGGGTTACATTTTATATTAGAGGGTGTTGTCTGATCCGATGAATAAGTTTATTAAAGTCTTCGTCAGAAAAAGTAGTCTAAAGCCCGTATTATAGAAAGATTCTCAGTGATTGTGCTAGTCTTGAGCATAATTAGAAAGGGATGTCGTTATATATAGCACATAGCTATATCCCTTTCTAACTGTACTCAAGTAAAGATCAACATTTAGTTGTCATTCTGTAATACGGGCCTAATTGAGCTCAATAAATACAAATACTATTCGAGCGACAACAAGAAACTACTGGCGTCTCGGCTTCGATAATAAATCTATAGATAAAGGGTTGCATACAAAATCAAAGTTAAAAACTGTCCTCGTGAGTGCATACTTATGCGGCTGCATTCGATACCCAATGAACGAAGACAAATGTTTTAAAACAGTTAAAGTTGAACCTAACAACAACCATGTCACAAAAGAATAAAGTTACAAATAACTAAATGTTATTTCGTACATACCTTACCTTTTACTAACCGACCCATTGGCTGTGTATTAACCGAACTAACTGAAAATAAGATCTCACGCCTCACGTTAGGCTATATTTACCGAGACGGATTTTACACCCTGACTCGTTATCTAGTATTGTTGAGCGAATAGTCTCGGAGACGGACAACATCATTTTGTCTTCGGTCTTACGGGTTATAACTTCTCATTCGTAAGCGCTAACTGTCACCGTAAACAACCTATAATGACAACTGCAGGCCGCAGTCACCTTTCTTTGTGTCTTAGGCTGGAAACAGAGCTCGACCGACTCGACCATGGAGCACCCCCACTAGAGTCCGCATGCAAGGGCAAGCGCTTACGCCAAGCTTAAGTAGTATATTACGTATGCGTGAGACACGCCCACAGACGTCGCTATACATCGTTTCATTCTGAAGCCGAGCGTTAGCAGAAGTGCTTCTCTCGTTTTTGCGTTAAAAAACTAGAAAAAATGCCGTACTGTGCAATTAAATTATGTGGAAAGTGGAGTAAAACTTCCAGTCTTCAAAAAGATGGTATTACTTTTCACCGGTAAGTTTAAATGCATTACAAAAAGACAAAAATACTCTTATATGAAATTGCTTTTAATTGTATTTATTTTTTGGTGAACGCGTTGATGTCTTTTAACACTATCCCTTTCTCGCATGCGCTACATCATATATGCTATTCCGCTCTCACACCGGCACGTGTATTGCTAGTGACTTGACGCAGCTCATGTCTGTACCCGTAAGTTTATCGATAAGTTTGTCAGCTACGGAAATAGAAAAAATAAATAAAAACTATTTATTTCATCGTATACAATAACAGATATCATGAGTATACAACCAACAGTTTTTAATCATATCGTACTAAAATTTTAAACCCGAAAATTTGTATGGATGTTTGTTACTATTACACGATTAAACCGATTTGTATGAAATTAAGGGCGCATACTTTATGACCTAGATAAAGACATGGAATTAACGATATTAAATACCCTAGATAGACCACGATCGCTCAAAATGTGTCCCAATCAAGAAGTGCTTAAACTTTATTCAAGCACTTCTTGGTTTACAGTCACGCGCGGACCGATGAAAAGTCAAAATGCCGCAGAGCTCCGTAAAAATGCGAAAAAAATACTAATAGTACGTAAAGTGTTGTTTTTTCGACAGGTATCTAATTAATGTTTTTATAATTTGGTACATAGTCATCTTTATATAATACAATAAGTTATTTATATAATTTGAGCCAAATAAACGTTTTTATTATTATTATAAATTTAACGCATTTGAAGCAAATTTTATTGTAATACTTACTATAAACTGATTTAATATAACATATTTGTGATACTCAAAAGCATGGTCGGTTATACGTCGCCCTATAGCCGTCTTTTTTCTTCGCGGTCTGTACCTGCTATAATAGCTAACAGCACATTCAGAATTGAGCCAGAAAAGTAAAAAAAAAATAAGGTCTATTTTCTTTCGCATATAACAATAAGTCGTAAAATTTTAGGAACTTGCATTTTGAAGTGCCATAAATTTTTGATGCATGCGTTTTAATTAAGAGCTTATGCCGTATGCATTAAAGGTGACTTTTTTTTAAATAATGCATTACATTGTTTTTGACCACGCGATCATCTTACGGACCTCTGTGAATCGTCAAATGTACCTTTTGGTCACGTTTCGGCCACGATTTTGTACATGCTGTCGTATCTAGGGTATAAAATATCGTTGTATAGAATACTTTTTGTAACGGAAAAATGTCAGGTTTCTTTAGGATTTTCAAAAAACTAAAGTTAACGTGGATGAAGTCGCGGGTGGTAGCTAGCATAAAATTTGATAAGTATTTACCAAGTTCCTTCAAAATCAATAATTTGGTTATACTTAGGTTATTTTGCGTGTGCTAAGTCAAGAGCCACGGACGTCACCGTATTAATATTAAATTCATTAAGTCTGTGTATCGCATGTGCCTTTCACGAGAACAGCAACGAGCAAAATCTTTAAAGAGATATTTAAGGTGATATCTTACAGACTGATGCGAGAATCAAAATACAGTAACATTACGTGTTTTATTTATTTCATAGGTTTCCAAAATGTGCCAAGATGAAGGAACTTTGGATAAGTGCAACTAAACGTAAAGATTGGACTCCAACTGTAAACAGTTACATATGTTCTCGTCACTTTACCACTGACAGTCACTCCCGCAAACAAAACGAACCTGTACCGAGCCGATGAGTAAGGCGCCTTAAGTTTTAAAAGTTGTCATAAACAGCATATTATTGTCTATCTAGATATTTTTTTACGTGTTTTTTGTGTTGCTTATATTTTATTTAGTATGTAGTTACTAGTCTGAAAATGAAACACAGATAAAAAAATTAAAAAAGTATACAACTTTGGCACATAATGTCGGGTGTCCTTTATTTATCGATAGAAAATATCGATATTTTCTAAAATCGATCTTACCCTCATCACTTCGCTGCACTGAGTATATCATCTGACCTTGACGTGTCCAATCACAACGCGGCTGATCTCCCTGCACGCCGCCGACTTTGGCGATTTTGATTTCAAACAAAATTTGCGTGATGCGGACTCTAGTGGGGGTACTCCGTGGACTCGACGGTACGTCCTGACCGGCAGCGCTAACCGTCGGTTGCGAAAATGCATTCAGTGCTACGCTGATTGCGAATGGCGACGCTTGTGTACAGTTCACGAGAAAAATTAAGCCTTTTGCTGTAAATGCTCTAATATGTGCACGCAATTTTTTGCGCAAACGACGGAATAGAAAGCGCCGAAGATATCATGTACATGTACTCGGAGACGGACAACATCATTTTGTCTTCGGTCTCACGGGTTATAACTTCTGTCTCATTCGTAAGCGCTAACTGGCACCGTAAACTATAATGACAACTGCAGGTCGCAGTCACCTTTCTTTGTCTCTTAGGCTGGAAACAGTGCTCGACCGACGGTACGTCCTGACCGGCAGCGCTCACCGTCAGTTGCGAAAAAGCATTCAGTGCTACGCTGACTTCGAATGGCGACGCTTGTGTACAGTTCACGAGAAAAATTAACTCTTTTGCTGTAAATGCTCTAATATGTGCACGCAATTTTTTGCGCAAACGACGGAATAGAAAGCGCCACAGATATCATGTACACCTAATACTTGTAGAACGGTTACTTGATGGCGAATTCTGCAAACTATTTTCGAGATTGCAGGAAGACAAGGAAAAGTTGGTTGATTATTTCAAGATGTCAATTAGAGCTAAAAGCAAGGTTCATGATGCATTGAAACTTTCCAATATGTTTCTAGTTTCTGTCCAATCTATTGAAACGACGACGGACGAAGCCGCACTTCAAGTAATAAGGCGCTCTGTATCAATATTCATATTTGCTTTGAATGTACGTACGCGCGTATGGTCGGTCGCTTAGTCAGTGAAGCACTGAACGCATCCATACCTACTAGTTGTGAGCGTTCTAAAGACGATAGAACCGATTTACGTTTCGGATCAAAATAGTCTTCGTCGAACAACTAGTCCTCGGATTTTATACACGGCAATTTGTACTTAATACTAATGTAAATACAGTCTATAATAGAACGCAAAGATATGAGACCGTTTCGTTTTATGACAATTAAGCTTTGATTTTACAATAATATAATCTTTATTATTGAACATTTAAAGTCGATTATCGTATAACACTACTTTTATTTCGATGCTTCATCATCTCGTTCGCAGCACGGTGACGCCAGTAGCGATGGCGCGACTGTGCCGCTTCTGTATGACCTTATCGCCATTTAAATATAGCAAAGTTTATTTAGCAACAAATGGAAACATAATAATAAAATTTATTTAGAAACGCAAGTTGGCATTGAAAATTAGCAATCCTTTCACTCGTCGAAACGAACGTTGACAAGATTTTGTTTAGTTTAGTTTCGTTACGTTACATTCGTTCGACCGTCGCGTCGCGTGTCGTTTCGTTGCGTCACCCAGGCAACCAAAACCAGTTGCGAACGAGAACCGTTTCGAGGACTACTTTTCGTTTAATAGAAAACGGTTGAGTTTCGTCGTCAAAAAATTTAAGAACGACCCACCCCTAATCCACCTCATCGCGCGACCGACGAGCCGGCCCGAGCGACGGCACGACTGACTGTACGCACGTACCATCAGCGTAGCTGTGTGCATATTCACAGACTTTCATAGATATAGTTACGTCGACTGACGGTCAGCGCTGACCGTCGGTCGAGCACTGTTTCCAGTCTCAACCTACGAACGCAGGCACATAAATAAAAAATATGTAAATAAAAAAAACATTCAACTTACCCGCTATTAAGGCTGTCCTAGCCAATACAGGCGCGTAAATATGAACGGCATCTTTGACATTTTTCTCGACGGGATCCCTCAAGAAGTTGAACATGAGATTCTCGAGCTGTGCATATTTGTGTTCAGCGACCGGGCATATAAGGCAGGCGGATTTCAGTCCCAAACTTCTGATTTCCACTTCGTTAGATTCGCACATGAGAATAACTAAACTAAGCAGGAGAGATGTGCATAGCTCTATGGGAACGTAGGGCGCGATGGCCACGCATATTTGGCTGGCTAATATTCTCCGTTCGGCAGATCTCGACGCGAGAAGTTCCGCTATTGATGACAGTACTTCACCACTGCCTCCCCATTTGACGATTAGGCACGTTGCTGTAATAATAAAAATATAATATTGTTATCTCATTAACTTAAATCTTCTTAACTTTAAGTAGGTCTCTTTGAACAAGGCATGCTGGATTCTGGCAGTGGTCAGGCTATCTTGGTTACTAGCTACATAATTTATCAGCATTTATCACTAATATATATAGAGCAATAAATTTAGGTAGTTCAATTGGCAAAGTTACGTGCGACTAAATGTAAATGTGCCATTAGTAACGACCACTGCAACACATTCCGATAAAGAATTATCGCGACCAAGACGATTCCAGAAAGACCCAATAGGTACGAGATTTCTGATATAAACGTCTGACTGCATGATCGAATTGTTTGTACATCTGTATGTCTGTCTGTAACGTTTTAACAAAATGCGGAAACGATTTTGTTGAGTTTGACTATAGATCACCTTCACATATGACCCTGGTGTCGGCGTAGTCGGGTTTCTTGACGAGCGTCAGTAACATGTGCAGCACGCGAGCTCGCCGCACGTCGCCGGGCGGCAGGAGGGCGGCGCCGCTAGTGTAAGCGGTGTTATCTATAGATCACCTTCACATATGACCCTGGTGTCGGCGTGGTCGGGCTTCTTGACGAGCGTCAGTAACGTGTGCAGCACGCGAGCTCGCCGGGCGGCAGGAGGGCGACGCCGCTAGTGTGAGCGGTGTTATATATAGATCACCTTCACATATGACCCTGGTGTCGGCGTGGTCGGGCTTCTTGACGAGCGTCAGTAACGTGTGCAGCACGCGAGCTCGCCGCGCGTCGCCGGGCGGCAGGAAGGCGACGCCGCTAGTATGAGCGGTGTTATCTATAGATCACCTTCACATATGACCCTGGTATCGGCGTGGTCGGGCTTCTTGACGAGCGTCAGTAACGTGTGCAGCACGCGAGCTCGCCGCGCGTCGCCGGGCGGCAGGAGGGCGACGCCGCTAGTGTGAGCGGTGTTATCTATAGATCACCTTCACATATGACCCTGGTGTCGGCGTGGTCGGGCTTCTTGACGAGCGTCAGTAACGTGTGCAGCACGCGAGCTCGCCGCGCGTCGCCGGGCGGCAGGAGGGCGGCGCCCGCTGCTAGAAGCGCCGCGGTCTCACAACGTCGCGCAACTAACGTGTGCGGTATTATCTACAAATAAACCATTTGATAGTACCCGGAAATATGAGAATTATGTTATTTTGTCACTAACATTTCATACCAGGGCTCATGATTACAAGTTAAAGAGAGTAGAAAAATTTACTATGTCAACCAACCAAGAAAACAACAAGTTACGCAAAATTATCCTTTGAGATTTAATTTGAGCTTTATTATATGAATCTTATAGTCAAGATTCATAATTGATTGGGAAAATTTGAAACCTCATGGGAACTTGATGTGTTGAAGTTTGTAAAAAGATTTTTTTATAAGATCTACACATTATTAGAACTAAGTGAACCCACCAAAATTAATTGCATACCCCCTGTTTAATTATATTTCGTCTCTCCATCCTATGGTTGTCTGGAAGAAATGGCTACATAGCCATAAGACCGCAAATAGTCCACCATTTTAAATTATTGTCTGAACTTTGTAATATGTATATAATGTGTTGTGTTAAATAAAGAATTATCTATCTATAATACTCACTCGAGGTAGTGTGTCGGCCACTAACGTTAATAGTCCAGGCAATGTAATTTGCTTCTCACTTGTAACCAGTTCAGCTAAAAGATCGTTGCTCAGTGGTTCATTTAAATTTAGTGTCTCACAACACCAGTTTAAAATAGAAACCTTTAAACTGTGTGGCAGACCACTGAAACAATGTAATTGAAGAAATGTTTTTATATTGTCAAAATGACACCAATGCCTGTTGTGGTTTTAAGTAAGGTTGGCAGCTCTCCATGGGGTAGGGGTAAGGTATTATAAAGGCAGAGGTATAGAAAGACAGGCTAATATTCTTATTCTCTTGTCTTGACAATCTGGGAAATACGCTTTACCATAAGGTTCTTCTACACCTGCAGCCCTCCTTGTAAATTTAAAATAAGGAACAATTAACTAATCAAAAGACCAAAAATTATTGCATGGTTTTTTATTAACACATTCACTTTTTATTTTATTCTGTATTTATTAAAATCAGATCAAGGTTTTCGTAAAACAATATTTATGTTTACTTTGATATGTAACTATCAAAGCTCACAATTTTTAAAATTAACTTAAAATCCTACATACCTAAAATATTGCTAAATCCATTTGCATATTTAATGGATTCCTTAATAGCGAATAACAGAAAAAGAGGTTCTCTCCACAAGGCTATCATGATTTTTTTAATATTCACTCACCTATCGATCCATATCTCTTTGCTATTTGTTTCAGTGCCACCATAGTCGTACTGTACGCGAGTCCACTCCCCACCGTCGTTGATACTCAATGTTTCGTCGAGGGTAGTGACACTGCTGCGTCGCAGAGGCGAGTCGCGAACACTGTTGTCTAGCGTCACTGGGTCGAACGAGCTTGTGTTTGAACTTTCTTTCCTTCTAAAACAATAATGTTATCATGTGCTAAAAATTCACCTAACTATTACAAAAATACGACTTGAGTAGTCCCTATATATGGCATTTATTTTCTGTGCCGAAGAAAGGTAAACTTAATCTGTAACTATAGGTATAATTGTTTAAGGATAAGCCAGTCAGTATAGATAAATAAGATTTGTAAGCAAAAGTAATTTCGTTGGTATATATTTATTAGTAGAAGACAGAAAAAGAGAGAAAGAAAGAGGAAGAGAATAAAGATTTAATTATGATAGTAAAATTTCTATTTAAGCTAATTATTAAAATTAATAAAGCTTTTATTATTTGATAAACTTACAACACATTATTCTTTTCACTATCAATCATTTCAAATTGTTCTGGGGTTACACTATGTGTAGAATTACCGCTCCCATAATGGTTTTCAGCTGCTGTACAAGTGATAGGTCTAACATTCAATGCTTGTTCTATTCTCTCATCAGCTATTTGTCCAGATGTTATTTTTTCTTCTGGTATATGTAAATCTAGTCCTTTACTGTCTGATGTAGGGCTTGTTAATGAATTCAAACTGACAATAGCGGCATCATAAAGCTTTTGAAAATTCATCTTTTCAGTTTCCAATGCTATTATTTTCTGTTTAAGCAAAACAATCTCTTCGGCTTGGATTAATAGCTGCAATAAAAATAACAGTCTCTTAGGCCTCTATCCTTTAGGTGGTCAGCAAAGCATTAAAAGTGTGACCAACATAATATGACCTCATTGACACATGGTAAATATAATTTTAACTCATAACTATGGATCTTATATACATCATGAACTTACCTCATGGTTCCAATCAGTACCAGCATCAAGTGAAGTTTGGCAACTCACACAAACATTTCCATCCTCAAATTCTGTTTGACATCCTTTACTTGTAATAGAAAACTCACACTGTGTAAAAGCATCAACTTTAGGAATGTTTAGTGAAGTTGAATTACCCCAGAATAAAGATACCAATCCTGCAGGCCTTGGCATATTCAAACCAACATCATCCCAATCTTCAAACTCCTAAAATTTTTCCAATACAAATAATAATGAAATAGTTAAGATGGAACTTGGATCATAGAACATGTAGTACATTGATGATATGCCAGGTAATCTGCAATTTAGTAAATCAAGAAAATTTGGAAGTAAGAAATTGCAAGTTATATAATAATTAAAATTAAATATAATATCACATACTAATAACAATATATTGCTAATAATGCAAACTTATACCTGATCAGGATTTTCATCTGAAAAAGTTATTGAAGTGAGTTTATAGCCCTGTAGTAACAGATATTCATTTATGAGAAAGTTAAGAGCTTTCTTTTCATGCGGTTTTAAAGACCTTTGATTATATGAATCTTTGGATACTTTATCTAGAGCTGAATCTCCATCTGCAACAGAACATACAATTTGGCACCCAACATTTTAATGATTTCTATATTTGTATATTGTTGTGACTACTTTTATCACCTGCAAATTGTGTTAGATTGGCTCTCAAAGAGTTGATGGTTTCTCTTGCTTTCCTTAGTTCAAATTCCAACACAGCGACATCGCCACCACTGCCACCACGATCCCCACCTCCATCTTCAGAATAACGAGCAGTGTCCAGAGAATCTAATGTTGCTTGGCTGGGTGTTCGATCTAAGGATTGTTTTTATTAAGGTGCAATCTTAGAACATAGCAAAGTTAAACAATTATGTAATTATCAAGATTTTGAAAATGTTACTGTAAAGGTGTAAAGTAAACAAAATATTATATATAATATAGTATTGCTAAGGTCAGACAAAATAGTGTTTATTTTAAGGCATGGAGCACCCCCACTAGAGTCCGCATACAAGGGCAAGCGCTTACGCCAAGCTTAAGTAGTATATTACGTATGCGTGAGACACGCCCACAGACGTCGCTATACATCGTTTCATTCCGAAGCCGAGCGTTAGCAGAAGTGCTTCTCTCGTTTTTGCGTTAAAAAACTAGAAAAAATGCCGTACTGTGCAATTAAATTATGTGGTTAGTGGAGTAAAACTTCCAGTCTTCAAAAAGATGGTATTACTTTTCACCGGTAAGTTTAAATGCATTACAAAAAGACAAAAATACTCTTATATGAAATTGCTTTTAATTGTATTTATTTTTTGGTGAACGCGTTGATGTCTTTTAACATTATCCCTTTCTCGCATGCGCTGCATCATATATGCTATTCCGCTCTCACACCGGCACGTGTATTGCTAGTGACTTGACGCAGCTCATGTCTGTACCCGTAAGTTTATCGATAAGTTTGTCAGCTACGGAAATAGAAAAAATAAATAAAAACTATTTATTTCAACAATAACAGATATCATGAGTATACAACCAACAGTTTTTAATCATATCGTACTAAAATTTTAAACCCGAAAATTTGTATGGATGTTTGTTACTATTACACGATTAAACCGATTTGTATGAAATTAAGTGCGCATACTTTATGACCTAGATAAAGACATGGAATTAACGATATTAAATACCCTAGATCAGTGGTTCTCAAACTTTTTAAATGACGGAACCCTTTTGGGAAGCAAAATACTTGATGGAACCCTACAATAAAACAATTATTTTTATAAGTGTATTCTATATTAATCAGCATAATAAAAGTACAATGTATCCGTTACTAATTATTATTTACTTCACCACTTGGTAAGGACAATAATAGAAAACATTAAAAAAGAAAAAATCTAACTAGTGGGAGGTATGAAACTGTTTTTTATTTTTCATCAATTGCTTGATATCAGGTTTGATGGAAGAAAGTTGGAGTCTCATATCAGCTTCGGCGTCCAGTCTATTGCGATATTTTGTTTTCGTGGCTGCGTAGGTAGAGAATCCTGTTTCGCACAAATATGTAGTTGGGAACGGGAGAAGAATATCCAGAGCCATTTGGCCAAGCATTGCATATTCATCTTGGATTCTGCACCAAAAATCATTAAGAGGCGTCGTTTTGAACAATGACTCCATACTTGTGTCTGATGACATTTCTAAAAGAGATTCATATATCTCATTTGACATGTTTTCAGGCTTTTCCAAGTTGGGTAAAAAAGGATTATGAATCCAGGAGTTCACTTTAATTTTTGTATTGTGTTCTTCGGGAAAATACTTTTCAAAAGATGCGCACATCGAACTGAGATATTGGACCAATTCTTCAAACACATTATCTTCAAACATTTCTGAGTCGTTTTCGCTAACAAACTCAGTGAGTAACGTAAAACTTTCTATTTCTTTCTTACCAATGCAAATGATCCAAAAATCTAATTTTCTTTTAAAAGTAGTTATTTTATTATAGGCCTGAAACACTGTTGTCTGTTTACCTTGCAATGATAAATTTAATTCGTTAAGTTTTTGAAAGATATCCGCCATAAAAGACAATCGGAACAACCAAGTTTTATCATACAAACGGTCCTTCAAATTAAAAGAAGTATCTGCTGAAAGAAACATTTGTAACTCGGCTCTAAGTTCAAATAGCCTTGTTAAAGTTTTTCCCCGAGACAGCCATCGCACTTCTGTATGGAGCAGCAGTGTTTTATGTTTGCTGCCATAATCTTCACACAATAATGAGAACAATCGGGATTGTAGTGGTCGTGATTTGATAAAATTAATTATTTTTACCGCTTCATCCATAACTAATTTTAGATTAGACGGCATTTGCTTCATCGCAAGTGCTTGTCTATGCAGAATACAATGACTGGAACTACAATTAGGCGCTTTATTTTTCATTCGTGACACTGCTCCTGCTGTTTTACCTGTCATCGCCTTGGCCCCATCTGTACAAATGTCAATGCAATTGTTCCAACTGAGATTATGTTCTTCAAAAAATATATTTATTTTATTAAAAATTTCTTCCCCGGTAGTGTTTGTAAGCAGCGATGAACACATAAGCATGTCTTCTTCAAAAGAACTTTTATATGGATATCTCACAATAACCAGCAGGATAGCCAAACCAGCGACATCAGTCGACTCGTCCATTTGCAAAGCGAATCGTGTATTTTGTAGACGTGTAACTAGTTCTTGTTTGACGTAGCTTGCCAGATCATGGATTCGTCGTGAAACAGTATCGTTTGATAGCGGAACAGTAGAAAGATGCTTTGCAGATTTTTCATCAAGCATACATTTTGTTATGTCTAATACACATGGTTTTATTAATTTCTCAGCGATAGTGTGCGCTTCACCTGCTTGTGCAATGCGATAGCTAACTAAGTATGATGCCTCCGTGGCCTTTTCGTTGGTAGTTTGTGTTACATGCATCATATTTTTTTGACTTTCTAATAACTGATCTTTTTTGCGAACAAAAAATTCTTTATTCTTGTCTTTAGTCTCGGGGTGTACGGTTTCTAAATGTCGACGCAATTTGGCAGGTGCCATGGAACTATTAGGAAGCAGTTTACTACAGAGCATGCAGAGAGGTGAGCCGTTGGAATCAACAAATCCGAAACTGATATAAGATTCATCATACTTCCTTTTTTTCGTCTTTGAAACCGTCGAGCTTGACGTCGTGGCACTCGTGGCATCATCTTCTGGATCGGTGATTGCTAAATTCTCCGCGCGCATTGCTTTTGAACATTCAGCGTCATTAGAAGATGTTGTTGGAACACGTTTAACACCTTTAAGCCAACGTTCCATTCTTCTTTATTTATAATGTTACAAGTCAGGATAGTGGGGTTTAAATAATGCACAATCGTTACTGCGTATAAGAGACTAAATTTAGAACCTACAGGGAAGAAATGTATAAAACTGAGACAACAGAATACAGCAGGCAGTAAAACAATGAACACCAGTTTCTCGCTAGCGAGCTTGTAAGTAGGTAGTAACTTATCGCTCCGAACGCTAATCATCAACTGACGACGCCAACGCGCGATCGCCGCTTTTATACTTAGTCCTAGACTCGATCTCAAATATTCTCGAAAATACTCGAGTCGGCACCTTTGATAAACAAAAAGCAAAAATAAAAACAGAAATTTAAAAATAGCGTTGTAAACAATATCGACTTTATCCTTTGAAGTTAGAGACGAAAGTCGCTAGTTGACAACTATAGCGTCTAATTCAGAGGCGGCTTTTATCAAAGAGACTGAGCGCTTACAAGTATACTACCCGCTCGTTTTAAGTTTGCCGCTGGCGATAGGTATGAGTGTATGACGTTCGAAATTTTTTATTTAATTGTAACAATAAAAATTGTGTACGTTAGATATTTGGGTAAAACTATGACACATTATAAGTTTTGTTGTCACGTGGGGGAGGGTACGCGCATTCCACAGACCGGCAAACTTAGAGCGAACGCGTTGTACAAGTATAAAATTGTTGAGACCAAACTTATGAGATATTGTACCAGCTAATGTAACACAAGCTTATACAAATACAAATAAATAAATAAATAACATTCATAGCGTTTTGTCTCCGCGCGGCCGCGGAGTCCGCACAGCCGCGGAGCGACCAGAGAGAGGTGTTTTGATTTTTTTATTTCTAAATTCTTGCGGAACCCCGACAGAGGTATCACGGAACCCTAGGGTTCCGCGGAACACACTTAGAGTATAGCTGCCCTAGATAGACCACGAGCGCTCAAAATGTGTCCCAATCAAGAAGTGCTTAAACTTTATTCAAGCACTTCTTGGTCTACAGTCACGCGCGGACCGATGAAAAGTCAAAATACTAATAGTACGTAGTGTTGTTTTTTCGACAGGTATCTAATTAATGTTTTTATAATTTGGTACATAGTCATCTTTATGTAATACAATAAGTTATTTATATAATTTGAGCCAAATAAATGTTTTTATTATTATTATAAATTTAACGCATTTGAAGCAAATTTTATTGTAATACTTACTATAAACTGATTTAATATAAAATATTTGTGATACTCAAAAGCATGGTCGGTTATACGTCGCCCTATAGCCGTCTTTTTTCTTCGCGGTCTGTACCTGCTATAATAGCTAACAGCACATGCAGAATTGAGCGCGATAAGTTAAAAAAAATAAGGTCTATTTTCTTTCGCATATATATAACAATAAGTCGTAAAATTTTAGGAACTTGCATTTTGAACTGCCATAAATCTTTGATGCATGCGTTTTAATTAAGAGCTTATGCCGTATGCATTAAAGGTGACTTTTTTTTAAATAATGCATTACATTGTTTTTGACCACGCGATCATCTTACGGACCTCTGTGAATCGTCAAATGTACCTTTTGGTCACGTTTCGGCCACGATTTTGTACATGCTGTCGTATCTAGGGTATAAAATATCGTTGTATAGAATACTTTTTGTAACGGAAAAATGTCAGGTTTCTTTAGGATTTTCAAAAAACTAAAGTTAACGTGGATGAAGTCGCGGGTGGTAGCTAGCATAAAATTTGATAAGTATTTACCAAGTTCCTTCAAAATCAATAATTTGGTTATACTTAGGTTATTTTGCGTGTGCTAAGTCAAGAGCCACGGACGTCACCGTATTAATATTAAATTCATTAAGTCTGTATATCGCATGTGCCTTTCACGAGAACAGCAACGAGCAAAATCTTTAAAGAGATATTTAAGGTGATATCTTACAGACTGATGCGAGAATCAAAATACAGTAACATTACGTGTTTTATTTATTTCATAGGTTTCCAAAATGTGAAATTTGGATAAGTGCAA